TTGAACCGTCGTCCCACCTTGCTTCTCTCGCAAGGAACGGCGAAGAGGGCCGAAGCAGGCATTGGTCTGGTTGTGTCGGAGAATATTTACGCCAAGGAATAGGCGTCGAGTGTCAGATTGCCTGTGCATCGCAGGTGTTCAACGTCGGATCATCAGGGTTTGTCGCGGTGAAAAAGTCGGGGTCGGTTTTCTGCACGCCTGATGTTGTGTTGATTTGGGGTGGATATCTTCCAAAAACGGCTTGATCGTACCTGCCCATTTCGCAACGGTCAAGTTTTTTACCATCTCACACCTTGCACGCGCCGGTAATTCGGAGCCGCCAGACAGGGAAGGACTGGCCTTGGCAGGTCGAGGCAGGAGCAATCTATTGCACGTGGGGCGGCGCCAGAGCACATTTACTCTGTATCAAGTACGGAGTTGAAGCAAAGCGCATCTCATCTCGTCTTGCACCACCACCACAGACATGCCAACTGCACGTTGACGTTGCTTAATATCGGCAACGTCCGCGTACCACAGAGTTAAACCTCGGGCATAAACCACGGACTGGGGCTCTGCTTCAGAGTTTTTTCAATGTCCATTTTCTCCCCAGGGCCCACCTGATGAACACGATGCTTCTGACGTCGTTCATCGTTCAATCGAGATGCACCGAAGATGGAGATCCAGGCTGCAATGCTGCCGCCACCCACGAGGTGGCCGTGGCGCTATTTCCGCGCCGACGACCTAGGTAGACAACTACATATAGGGTCCAGGAAGGATGGGATGACCAATAGCACCGTCGACGTTTTGTCGGGCGTTGCATCTTTTGCAGCGACCCTGCCTCATGCGCGGTTGCGTCAAAAGTAAGCTTTTCAGCACCCAGCTCCTCAGCCACCATCTCCACTTTCTGACACGCATAGGAGATCGTTAGATGCAACTGCCTTCCAAAGTTGTTGGTTGTCGTGTTCGGATGTACTCGCTACGCGCCAAGAGATAAACTCCATGGCGATATCTAGCTAGATGCACTACTGCTGTGCTCTCGACGCACCCAGGCACCCTTCTTTAGCCCTTCCAACGATAGCACCATCCTATTGGCCAATTCCCGGACTTACAAGATGGATCTGAAAGAGATATGCCAGACTCCTAGACAGCCTACGGCCACGCCGATCACCTACCCATGCCTCGGCTCTCTGTTGTTGGGTAGTACAAAGGCCCAGGGTACAAACGAGCGAACACACACCTGTTCTTGAATCGGGTTCCGCCATTCGATAATAACTTTTGTTCAGCTCGACGAGGAGCAGGCGATTGCTGAAGCGGGCCTGAGCCTGCAACAGGGCCAAGGGTTTGGCAGGTCGTGTTACCCATCCATGGTTTTCCATCATGCGTACTCTGTCCACCCCATGTGTATTTCTGGTATCGCCGATGTGCCCGAACCGGAGGCTCACCTAGCGACGGTTCGGTGTCGGGCAGATATCTGAGTACGAAAAAAAAACAGAATACACGAAGTCATCGTCTATATACATTACTCATCGTCAGCTTTTTTCTATTCCCATTGTAAGTAAGCGTATGCGCAATAATGCATTTGGGACAGTTTGGCATCCGACAAGCCTCACGAAGCCGGGGAACCTTGAGTATCCTTTTATTGGATCCTTTTAGTTACTTTTGTTCCCAAGACCGAACATTTATTGAGAACCGGGAATCAAATATGTCAGAACCACTGCCGCTAGATGATGAACTGCAATCAGAAATTGGAGAAAGCTCCAGGAGAACCCGTTGGTGCACTAAGAAGCCCTCCCTTTTACACAAATTAAGGTCCACATTTCCTAACCCACGATATCCGTCATGTAGGCAATCGATCTGTTTCTGGCATGACAGTGGCCCAGCGTGAACGCAAGAGGGCAAACGATCGCAGGAGCCAGAGAGCCAGTCGCGCAAGGACCAGACAGCACATTCAGCATCTAGAAAGAGAACTGGAGAGCCTCAGACATATACGTCCTGAGGATGGCGAGGATGAAAGCGCTGTCATTCAAGAGCTGATTAGACGTAACCAAGAATTAGAGATAGAGCTAATACGGCTTCGCTCAACGAGTGTTTCTCCCCTTTCTACTAATCCCAGCCATTGTGGGATCCCTGTCGCCGGCAGAGTAAATGCCCCAAACCCAGGAGAGCCTCTAAATACCGAGGCACCGTCAACATATTTGTCTGAAGGCATACCGCCTGTTGATGATGGAAATCCAATGGCATCTTTGATGACCCTTTCCTCGTCCTCGGTGACGGATAACTTTGGTGAAGCTTCTGGGACGAATCAAAATCTTGTCAACTATACAATGCCTAATCAATACCCAAGAATCGATTTTCCAAGGAGCCCACCAAATTTGTCTAGGCCCACTGCTCAGTACCGCCAGTACGGCGAGGAAAGTGGTCCAGGTACAAGAAGACAAGAGTTGCGATACCCTGCAGAAACAAGTATGACGCCTTTTGCTGCAAGTTCGTCTACAGGAGCCCCTCAAGTGGGCATGCAGCCTTTCACTAGGCAATCTGGGTCTGGTCACAGGACGGAGGAATATGAGGGCGAGGGACAAGGGCCTGTACAGCCATTGAGTTGGGATCAATGGCAAGTGGGAAACCCTGGGGGCGAGGCGGAATAACTGTGATTATCACTTATCATCAATACAAGTCAACATTCCAAAGTCGGTTTACTATGGCCTTCCCTGTATAAGTGATTGTTAGCCTTGACTTGGAATCGTCATTGGGCACGCAAAATCCTGTAAACATGAGTATCATGCCATCTATTGCATAATACACAGGTGCTCGGCCGTAGAAAACCAGAAAACTCACTCTCCTTGCTTGTGAATAGCCAAAATTCCCCGAGTTGTCCTTGGGAAATGCTCTCCCCTACCGATCTGCGTTTGCATCGTCACGGTTGTACGAGGCTGCAGGTTTCTATTCTCCCCACAGGGCTATGAACCCCTTTCCAGGAGAGGTACCCTGTCGAAACTATTGGTGCTTCTACCGACGAGGGTTCTGGTGGCGATAAGTTGTACCAACCAATACAAACTGGTACTCGCACCCATCCCTAAAGGATACCGAGATACCTTCCTGCAGCCTTAACATGGGCACGCACACCCCTCGGACATGATTCTACATGCCGTCTTTGTCCGATTGGAGAAATAGATTCAGGTGAAGGAAGGCCTGTGCTGTCGATATGCGACCGCTCGAAGCCCTGTCGGGCTGAGAGTCGAGCCCGACGCCTCATGGTAGGCTACGCGTCGCACCGGAACGGCTGGCGAGCTCTAAAAAAAACCCCTGCCTCGGTTGTTTGCCGTAGCGTTTTGTTATACTGAGATTGGTGGGGATTCTATGAGCATCTTTGGCCGGTTCAAGGGCAAACGAGGCTATCTAGCGGAGAGGACGGGAGATTCCTGAATCAGGTGCTTGACGTTTCAGGCGACGACCGTGATGGAATGCACTTGAATTGTTAACTTGTGTTCACTATTGGATTGGCACGAATAGCCGTATAATGTAGTGTGTCGCTAATTCGGGCCTCCATGAAGGCATGAGTGACGGGTTCCGTCGTGCTAAAAGATGTTGAAACAGGCGAAGGAACTTGTGTCGTATTATTTGACTTAATCAGACATCTTATACAAGGTTTGACGGGTCGGTAGCACATTTCTCGGACAGATTTCCAAGTGCAAAAGGGCAACTCGCTCTTTGATTAATTCAGCCATTTCATTTCCGAGTTGTGTTCTGATGATTGGGATCTCTTTTACCTGGAGAGAAAGGCTAGCACATTTATACAAATCCCGTAGTCCAAAATATACTTCTCTACGCGCCCTCGGGATTTGCTTAGTCTGTTGGCTCGCCCAGTATCCGACACCGGGGCTTCTTTTCTTTCTTCTTGGAATTTCTCTCCGCATATCATCATCTTCTGATTTCGACAAATTCATAAATATATTAATAACCGCAGAAGGGTGAAAAACCTCATACGCACCAACACCAACAGAACTGCTCGATGAGACAGTGTGTTTCCGACTCAGCAACCAAGGGGTCATGCATGCGACTCTCCTCTAATAGACATCTTGATATAGCATGCCATGCCCCGCCGTGTCTCGGCGAATGAATTTCATGTTGCCAAAGGAGAGGATTACACCTATGTTAAAGGTTGGATGTGTCATGATTGGCAGCTATGGATCGAACTGAGCAGTGGGCTGGCCCTTGGTTGATTTTATCTAGCTTTGTGATGGGGGGTTCTCTGATAATTGATTGTAGGTGCGATTTGGTTGACCGAAGTCGTTTGGCTGCCTGTTTCAAGGCGTTTACTTGACAGAAGTCGGTCGCCTGACAAAAGCCATGTGATTGACTCCCACTTGCAGGGCTCTATAATATACAGCAATGACTCTAGTTTTATTTAACAGCTAAATACGAACAGGCACGATGAGTCGACGAGGATGTCTCGGGATGACGGGGGCTCGGGGCTTTCTTGCAACGTTTTTCTGCGTGGTTACTCAGGGTTTAATACCAACACATTAGTGGAAAAACAAGGACCAGGTGTGACAAGGGCTCGATAGAGGGCTTGGAGCAATTTGGCTCAATTCAGCTAATAACAGTCTTTGGTCACAAAGGTCCTTGGTTTTCCTCAAGGCTTTGAGGGGCCAAAGGCGTCTACAAGTACAAGAAGTTGGCGAGGGACTTTGCCCTAGGTCTCGTGACCATAGCCCTCGTCTAACAGGCGATTTCCGTGTAACACCAGGTCTTTCATGGGCGGAAGTCGGCTGGTCATGTTGCTTTGGCACATCAGGAATAGCAAAGACTTCAGCAATCGTCATAGGGCAGTGTGGTTGTGAAGCAGCAATGTCACCTCTCTCTTCAATGAATGTCTCCCATTATGAATGTTGTGAGTGTGTCCAGTCATGACTCCCTCTGTGAATCCTTCCAAATAAATAAGCAAAAGTGAGAAACTAAAAAAAATCTCAAGATGCCATAGTTCATCTTCTCTTCAAGTTTCAGCTTGTCCTCGCTTTATCTCAATTATCTACAATCAATGCGGATACAACCCACTTGGTCAACTTCCTGAAGAGCTCCTCCACCCTCATTGCAATACCCAAGATTCGCTCCTCTTCGAACTTTCGACCCATCAATTGAACGCAAACCGGGGCACCGTCATATGTGTCTGCGTTGTCTTTGCCATGCTGATGTTAGCAAGAAACGTGACACCCACAACAGTGAAACCCAACTACTTACACGCTCTCCAATTGACCTCATCCTTAGGGGTCAAAGGCTTGAAGTCACCGTGAGCTACGTCGACATTCTTGTCTGCTTTGGTGACTGGCAGCACCGCACTGGTAAAGTCGAGTATGTTCACAAACTCTGTGTAGCCTGTGCAAGTAGCGAGATTCGAAAACGCGCAGTGCATCTATAAGAGTACTGACCGTAATGAAATTACTCGCCAGGAATGACGGCCGCATGTGGAGCGACGGGCAAAATTACAGCATCGACGGCTCGTCCGGTTCCCGTGTGCTTGACGGTCGAAGCCCAGTACTCTAGATATCTGGCTACATACGCCTTGTGCTTCAAAACAATGTCGAGAAGCTCAAGAGTTGGAACAGGGTCTTTTGGCCCGTTTCCAAAGCGCTCCGAAACCTGGGGAATCACAGGTTCATGCAAAATGTTCAGCTGGCGCCAGACATCGTCGCCGCCGTCAATGTCCAGAATGATGTCCTTTTTTCCAACAATTAACCAGCGTCATCGGCCAAGAATTGAAGTTGTTCTCACATGCAAGGCCAAAGCTTCTTCATGCGACGGTGGCTCCCACTCGATAACCTGATTGATATTAGAAACTTTGGTACTGCACGGAACAAGAATACGTACTGTGTGGCCGGAACGTTTCACAGCATCAACAACTATTTACTGTGAACAACAGTCCCTTCCAGGAGTGCGAGTTCTCATGGACTCACAGAATTTGCGACGGTTCGATAGGAGAATCGCCCGCAGGATGGCTTGATAGAGCACGTTCCACAAAAATGCGGCCGGAATGCGAACAGATCCGCCTATTCCACGCCAACAATAGTCAGAGGCATTCTTGCAAGCCTAAGAGGGGGGGATCTTGGCTGGAATATGCTTGCCAATATCAGTGCCGACTCCGACATTGCTTGCTCCAAGTGCGAGCAATGCACCCTCGCCGCCGCTTGAGCCACCGCACGACAGCAGCTGATTTACGGGATTCATGGTACGGCCGATGAGATTATTGACTGTCTCTCCCAAGAGGAGAGTTTATAGGTAGCTAGTCTTTGGCCAAGTCAGTAGGTATATATAGAGGGAAGAGAACGAGAGAGCGTACCTTGCAATACAGAACGGCACCGAGGCTGTGCAACTCTTCCACTAGCTGGCTCTGGTCGTGAAACTCCCTTCCTGTCCCTTGAGCTCCTTCAAAGGTGCCTACCCAACTTACGTACCCAATGGTGGTTTCGGCATACTTGACATGGAATTGATCTTTCAAACTCACGGGAACACCGTGCATGGGACCCGCGAATTCTCCAGTCTCCTTCAATTGTCTATCAAGGTTCTCCGCTTGCTCTATTGCGTCTTGAAAGAATATCTCGTGCAGGCAATTGTTCTGTCAAGTAAAAAAGGCCAATATCAAGAGCAGAGTCACCTTGGCCACATACCAACCAGTGGAATCTTGGCGAGCGTGGCCATGTTTTTCTGCCAGGCAACGCGCTTCCACGGTGACCCCGACATGATTGCTTTCAGAAACGGAGCCACACCGTGGGCGTAGCCTTATTCTGGACAGAAGATGAGGCGATGTGATGCTTGTACTGCTGAATAGCTCCCCGCCCGAACAATGCTCATATGGCCAGTGCATGACCTGCGCTGCATTGGATGCATTCATCCATCGCGCCCCTTGCCTTGGCACCCGGATGCCTCAAGTATGCATCTTCTGAACCATTCTCGCATCTTCCTATACTAACATATGCTGTAATTTGCTAGCGTTCGGTAAAAATAAATATAACTTGCCCAGGCTGCAGGTTAACGGCTACATGAAGTCTTGTGGTGTGGCTGAGGAGTCTGTGGCAATACGACGCCTGTCATCGGCTCCAAACTGCCTACCCTATACACAATCCCCTGCACCGCCACAATAGGCTGCCGCCACATGACATCGTGTCACCGACGTCAACCAACCCACACCCGATAGTCCTCCATTCGACCTCTGAGCTTCACTCCCTCCCGTCTACCACCTAGAACCACGACATCTCCAAACCATCGTATATTCGTCGCTGCCACCTCCCACACGCTCATCACCGCATCGTCAACCACCAAAGACGATTGAAACCGCCGCCATGGCCACCAACACCAAGTACCAGCCTGCGCCGCAGCAAGACCCGGACGACTACACGCAAGCGCCACCCGCCTACGCAGAGGGCTCCTCATCGCGCGACGAAAGCCAAGGTCTCTTCGGACCACCTCGCAGCAGCGAAGACAACCTGCCCGATGACTTCAAAGTCCGTCCCCCCAAACTTCTCCCTCCGCTACACACACTAACGCCGTCTAGTTCGGAGGCTCCGTGGCCGAAGCGACCGTCGACATCCGCAACCAGTTCGTCCGCAAGGTATACACCATCCTGACGGTGCAGCTGGCCGTCACCGCCGCCGTCAGCGGCCTCACCTTCTTCAGCGACGCCTACCGGACATGGATCCAGTCCCACCCCGGCGTCGTCTGGGTATCTGTACGCACAAAGCCCCCCTCGCCCCCGCGCGTCCTCGCACCCCTACTAACATACCAAACCACAGCTCATCGGTGCCCTGGTCTTCATGGGCCTGACCTACTGGAAGCGCAAGTCCTACCCCACGAACCTGCTCTTCCTCTCGCTCTTCACCCTGGCCGAGGCGTACTCCATCTCCGTCATCGTCTCCTTCTACAAGACGTCCATTGTTCTCAACGCCGTCATCCTAACGGCCGGCATCTTCGTCTTCCTCACGCTCTTTGCATGCCAGACCAAATACGACTTCACCTCATGGATGCCCTACCTATTCGGCGCTCTCTGGGCCCTGGTCCTCTTCGGCTTCATGGCCATGTTCTTCCCGTACAACTCTACCGCCGAGCTCATCTATGGAGGCGTCGCCGCCCTCATTTTCAGCGGGTACATCCTTGTCGATACGCAGCTTGTCATGCGCCATCACCATGTCGAGGAGGAGATTGCCGCCGCAATCAGCTTGTATTTGGACATTATCAACTTGTTCCTTGCCATTTTGCGCATTTTGAACAGCCAGTCCAACAACTAGATGGGTCCCAAGTTGCCAAATGAGCGGGCATGACGGAGCTATGAGGAGAACCAGATTGAGAAGTTGTTGGCTCTTTGAGCTGGTGGGACAAGCCCCATGGCCGAGCGGAGGGTTATTAATTGGTTCGGAATGAGAAACTGAATTCAGATTGGGTTTGGCGCTTGTTTGTCATTTGTTTTCCTAGGTTTGCTTTCCTTCACAAAATTCCTTTCCACGAATACTAGTTTATGCCGCCCAGGTAGTGCCATGGATATGATACAGTCCTTAGAATTCACCACTCGTCGCACGCATTATTGATTCTACGTACCCCCCAAATTTATGTGAATGTGTGTAAGTATGTAATATAAATTGTTAAAGGATTCGATATTTGCATTAGAAGCTCACTAAGAGAACTAAAGAACAGAACAAATAGAAAAATCGGCCGGGCGACGCGGCAAGGCTAGGCTACAAACAAATGGGTTACCAATACAGCTAAAAGGGGATATCATACCCGCAAATGCGGGCCATATACCTGAGAATGTCGACCGCACATCATGTCCTTCTTGCTCATCCACCCCCGCCACAATATTAATTGCATTGGTTGCTTGCCATTGCCGTTCCCGCTCACGACTCCGATCATCGAGAAACCATTGCCAAGTCGCAAGTACAAGGGGGTTATTTGTGTAAAACCGTGTACTCACTACACTGTCACTACTGCCACTACTGCCCCACTCCATTCTTATATTGGTTCCTCCTGTCATCTCAATCATAGCCAGCCTTTTATATTGAAATGCGAACAAGCTCAGTGGCGTGGTGTAGAAAAAGGGATAAATCGAATTTATGTTGCATTGCGAATCCCGGGGGAGTCCTCTGCTTCTTCTGCTTTTTAGTCATGATAGAGATGAAAAAAAAACCAACGCCGACATAGATATATAAACCAACGTCGCATGTCTTCCTTTTTTATTCTCAGGGTATCGCAGAAAGGCCTAGCGTATCGCTGGACAAGACTTAGGCTTCGTTGTCGCCGTTGGCCTCGGTAGGCGCGCTCACAGAAGTAGCCGAGGCTTCCCTTGCCATACGGGCCTCGATTTCTCGGAGCTGCGACTCACGAGCCAAAAGCTCCTGTCGCTTCTCGTTAATTTCGCGCTGGACCTTGAGCTCGATTTCACGCAGTTTCTCCTCTTCCCTTCGAAGCTGCTCTTCCTTGAGACGGACAGACTGTGAGGCAAGATCCTCAGGGTTCATGGAACTATCAATGCTGTTTCGAGTGTTAGCAGAATAGACCTCGGCGCCAGGTGCAACATGTGGCGAAACACTTACTTTCCGGCAGCACCATCCACGCTCTTGGACAGCTTCTCGGTACGATAATTCTCGTACAAGAAGTCGTGGGTAATTTCCTTGAGGTCTGCCAGGTGACTGTGAAGGAGAGCGGATCGAATAGCGAGGAAGTCAGAGTGGCGAGGGTTGTCAACCTCGACTACACCCCATGGGTACTGGCGAGCGCGAACCTTGCGGCCACCAATCTCAACAACATCCTCAGAGCCGACAATGGCGAAGGGCATGAGCCCTCGGAGCTCAGCGTTCTCCTCGACGGTGTCTTCGTCGTCTTCCTCGATATCGTAGGGGAAGTTGTAGACAGGGATACGGTAGTGCTCGATATCCTCCATAACCAATTTTTTCGACTCGGCCAGTTCGGCGGGGGTCAGGGAATCAGCGCGGCCAATGACGGGAATGACGTTGCATCGGGGAGCAAGGCGCTTCATGAGCTCAATGTCGAGTTCTCGTAGACTGGCAGCGGGTCAGGAAGGCTCCAATATTGAACAAGCAATTTCTCCTTGGGCGAGGGACTTACCCATGGCCCGTGGGAGTGATGAAGTAGAGCATAGCGTGGACACGGTTGTCCCTGAATCGGGGGTTACGCTTGATACGTGACTCCTCGGCCAAGATGTCATCATATTGCCTCTCAAGGTATCCAACAATCTCTGAGAAACTATTGAAAAGTGAGCAGACGGGTATTTCCATGCGCCGTTGCGCCTGTTTGGGGCCCTACCTAGCTTCGTTGTCGATCTGGTCACCAAATCCAGGGGTATCGACAATCGTCAGAGAAATACGGGTACCCTCTTCGTCGAGCTCGAGCTCTGTATCACCATATTCCGTCAGTAAAGCCATGTTTGACCCATTCATTGTCTGCAGATGGTTGAAAAAACTACGTACCAACGGTGACGGGCTTAATCTTGACACCATCCTCAACGTGAGCATCGGTGGGATCGTCGGCATTCTTATGCGTGAGCACATCCTTGTTGCAGAGTGTGTTGACGAAGGTGGTTCGGCCTGGAGGGAGCGATGTCAGTTATCGCTGGTAGAAAATTACATAGGTCGCAGCATTACGTAGGTGACTTGGCTAGAGCTGCGTGAGAGGGGAGATGGAGAGTGACTTACCAGTTCCAGAGGCACCACAGACCATCAAGCAGAACTGAATACCCTTCTTGACGTTCTTCTTTCTCCGGATCATCTTCTATAAACATCGAGACAAGTCAGCATATCCCATTATTGTGGTTTGAACGGCATCTAAAGCAGTCTCCAAACGCTATCGTCGACAAGTTTGCTAGTTGGGGCTATATGCGTCCAGGGGGTGGGTGTGGGCGGTGGGAAGCTGCGAAGCACGTACAGTAGCGGCGGACGACATCTTGGCTGGAGTCGAGGAGTTGAGAATTGGGGAGTAAAAGAAGACCGACGACGAGGAGATGCGTCAGTTGTAAGAGACGACAAGACGGACACGATGACGCTGCGTGGGAGATGGAGTTGGGAGCAGCTCGCTAGGATGGAGACGAGAAGTCGGGGAGAGGTAACCGCAGACTAGAGGAGTCAACTTTGGAGATGGTGGTCGAGCAAGTGGTTGCGCCGTCTCCTACAGGCCACAAGTGCTGGCCAGGGTGGTTTTGGGGGGGTGAGGAGCCACTTCAGGACTCGAGCAGATCAATGACCCAATTAGCAGGCACGAGCATCGGGCAGACCTGGACAGCGCCAGGTACTTCGAGGCCTCAGGAAAGGGGAACCAGGGGTCTAGTCGATTGGTGGGCTCTATATGTCAAAGTGGGGCGGAACTAGGACACGGCTGCCAATGGGGACCGCTGGCGTGCAGTGGGCATTGGGAGGCTAATTTCATCCGGACTGCTCATCAATCAATGTTGAGATGGATGGATATCGAGATTGAAGCAGCTGATCCACGCCGAGGCACACGGCTAACACACTTTTTTCCGCCGCAGCCATTGTCATGAGCATCAAGTACGGACCGCTGATTTGGATTGATTTATCTTTTCTTCTTTTGCTTCGACCTCAGAATCACCAGGGCGGTCGCGGGTCAATCTCAGCAATAGCGGGGAGGGGTCCCTTGGGCCCTGAGCAAGACAGCTCGTCACTTGCGCTTTCAGGGGCATTCGGTGTAGGTACCTTTCAGCTTGGTTTTGGTGATGAGGTACGCACCACGTTCGACCCCTGAGAGCTTTCGACGAACCGGCAGAATTGACCTAGAGCTGCCCACCGCCTTTTTCTCCGGCCACCAGCAACAGCAGAGGAGAGGGTGTCAGAGACAAGGAGCCTATTTCATGATGTTGAAGAAAGGAGCCTTCCAATTCGTCTGCCTTCATCACCTGATCACTGGCATTGAAACCAGAACCCAGCCAAATGCATCTCATCTTCAACCCCTGGACCTCATCGTGGCCGTTGTAGTCAACAGTTAACCGCCATCTCGTTGCTTCACGGCCCGTGCGCATGCGACACCCTCATTAGGCATAGCCAAGAGTTCGGGGCTTCTCTTGGCTAAGGGCCATCTTACTGCGGAGCACCAAGGGACTCGTTTGGCTGGATGATCTTTGTCACATCATGGACTTCAGGAATATGAGACCCGGCAGTATTGGGTGATTATGTTCGATTTAGTTCACGGCTGCCAATCAATCGCTCTGCCCAGAGTCTCTTTTTAGTATTGCCCATCCATTTACTCCGTACCGTTGTTGATATCGACACTACAAAGGCATACCACCGCTGTGATTACAACGGATTCCCCAACAAACAAATGCACATCTGTGACAGGCTCTCTAAGTTCTGCTTGCGACCCTGTCTGTGATACGTAATACTACTGGGACAAAATCTCCGCACATTTGTATGAGGAAGCGATGAAAACGCACTAAAAAGGATCAGTTCCCCCGGACGACCCCTCGAAATCTGACGAAACACCAACAATCCTCTTTCGAGTAGCTACTTTACAAATATGGGGCGTGTGGAAGTTCTGACACGTTGGGACGATTCTGATTGACCAGCTCCAGTTAGTCCTATAGCCAGAGTGGTGAGGGATCACTTTACCAACCGTCTGTTCTAAGGAGTTGACCCCTTGCATCTCAGCAACATGTTGCCTAGGCGCAGCATCAAGCTCGTTGAAAACAGGCTGCGAGACACTATTCTGGAAGACATGTTGTTTGGAAGGGTCCGATGGCAGTTCTCCAGGGCCGGTTCCGTATCCTGCGGATATTCCAACAGTTGGCTGTGGTTGCAGTCGTCTTTGCCTCCGTCGCTGAAGGCAAAGAAAACACAGAGTCCCGAGGACCAATGCGAGAGCAGCAAGACACCCCAGTACGATTCCGACTATTGCTCCCGTTGACAGCCCCGAGCTTATTTGGGTCGCGTTGGAACCGGCTGTCGGAGTAATGGAACTAGTAGCTGTCGTGGAAGTCGTTGCGGTCGCAAGAAGGTCTCTTTCCTTCCAGCGAATTTGAATTGGCCACGCAATCTGCCACCATGTAGTCGCACCCGTAGCTGTATATGTATATTGCGTCATAGATCTTTGGTCATATATGTTGTTATCGACAGTCACAACCTGTGTCCCCGATACGAGACCACTGTTGCAGCCGTCGTACACAATACCGCCTCCTCCTGATTGGGTCTGCCACGCAGGACACACATAGTCTACACAAGAGTTTCTATCAATTCCCAGTTCCAAGGAGGGATCATTTGTTACTCACTACTCG